ACCTGCGTAACATACATTTGCAAACGTAAACTGTAGCTCTTTACCTCAGAAAGTCTGATTTTTTGAAGGGATGCTTATGCAAATAGGCCTTCTATTTCCTTGTCTTTTTCCTCACTAAAACATTGTACATAATGAACCAAGAGCATGTGGGAAGTTTTGGGAAGGGATTCTGGAAAGTGTGGGGCTAAATGGCTCGTTCTGGCAGGGGAAAAGGGGAGGCATGGTCTGCTGCTGAATGGATTATCACTTTTTTAAAATGACAAATGGAGCCCCAAAATGTCTTTCTCTCCAATGGCACAGATGACACTGTGCTGAATGCATTAATCATTTATAAGGCTCCTTTGGCATAGTCCTGGAATCCTGAAACACAGGCCCCAGGCTCAGCTGTCTGTGGCACTGACTCAAAATCCATTAGAGACTGTTGATGTGCATGATTTATTGTATATGAGCAGGGGTCATTCTTGCCAAATAAGTGTCTTTTGTGATTTATAAATGAAATACACTCTAGCTTCATTTTCTGAAAAAATTCTCAGAGTAAGTGCATTTGGTATTGCAGGCTCTGGATTAATTGAGAGTGAATCGTAATGCATTATTATCCTTCCCATTTAAAGCTTCCAATCTGTGGCTTCGTTACTGTAACGAAAACGGTGCTGTATGTTCTCAGACCTCAAATATTTTAGCAGTTCTCAAGCATAGATTTCTAGTCTACTTCAAGAGTAGCGAGGAAAATAGGTATGATGAACAATTAGCTTACCAGACAGGGAAAGCAAAGCTGGCAAGCCTATTCTTTATCTGTTTTTCTCTTTGCTGGCGAACAGCTTCCCTCTCACGCCAGAGTATGTGCTTTGCTTTGATCACCTTCACGATACTTTGTTCCACATATTGAATAGGTTGGACCCAGTCTTGAACTTCTGACAGGAGGATGCTGGGAGAAAGACTTGGCAGCCTGACCTGTTATCTGACCTGGCCAGCTGTGCTCAGGCTCAGTTTCAGACGGCATTTTCTAAATCTGAGCCTCTGCCTGATAGCTTCAGGATAGCTTTGCTCAGCCACTCTGTTCACTGGAGCACTTTCACTGAGACTACTGGCCTCCAGAAACTTCTGTCACCAGGAAGCAGGCTCAGTCTTCTTTGGGGAAGGGGAGCTCAAACTGCTCCTATAGAAAGGGAATAAAGTAAACTACAGTGAGGTTTAATGACTATCCCTGAAAGATCTAAGATCTGTGCTGGGAAAATTCTCAGTTGTTTCACTTATTCTCTACCTTCAGACTTTTGCTGCTCTATGTCAAGGTCTTCCCATTGAAATGGCACAAAAAAGGGACCCCTTCATATTGTGTTTAGAAAGCGGTACAACTGTGTGTTCTCCCGTAAACCCAACGCAATACCTCTGTAAGCTATGGGCTTACTTGCTGGCTCTATAAGCGTTATTTGTATTTTAATATTTTTTGCACAACACCTAACCTAAATCCTCCATAATAGCTTACTGCAGAACATCTCATGGCTGTGCTGGGACCAGTTAAACCCTGACAAAATTAGTATATTTTTATTTGCTTTTTTTAAAAGGAATTATATGTGATATTTGCTAAAGTGGAAAAAGGCATGAAAATGACAAAAAAAAAAAAAAAACCAAAAACATAGACCTTAATTTTATTTCACTCCTTTACCCACTGGGAGTTTACCTGTATATTTTGACTAATCTGTCTCATTTCTAAACTAGCCACTTCATGGCAAGCAATATCTCATTTGTGTCAGATGCTAGGCATGTACAACACTTGCCCTAAAAAAAAGGGGGGGGGGGAGGGAGAAAGAAATAACACTGTTAGATTTTGTAGTATCCCCCCACTCTGAGAGCCTCCAGACTGCTAAGACAAGGAGTCAGGTGGCTTTTAAAGACCTGCATTTACCACATTGCTACTCATTTAGGGCTAGTACACAAAGGTATTCACTTCTTTCCTCCAACGCTTCAGTCCCTCACGGTGGTAACCAAAGCCGTCCCGTCCTTGTGAGAAGTGCTACAGAGCTGCATGGCAATACGTCAGCTGCTTGTCCCTGTGTGCGGAGCACCCTTCCCCACCAGGGTCAGGCAGCGCAGCAGACACATGAACTACTCGTCCAATTAACTCTGAGGCACTTACTTACGGTACTGTACTCCACTTGCTCACTTTGTACAGTGGGAAAACTCGTATGCACATTGCTGAGCACTCCAAGGGACTCGCTGTCTGAGTATCAAATGAAAAAATATTTAACAGGCCTTTATTTAATAAAACTTCATTTCTGTCCTTATGACTTACAAGACAATTTAAAAGATCAGTTTCTCCTACCTCCTCTGATTTTATTTGCCTTTATATCCCTGTGAAACGCTTGCTGCATTTTTTGTGGCTGCTTCTTTTCTTTCCTGTGATCACTGTTTTTGCTTGTTCCTGCTTATATTTATAATTCCCCCAGTCTCCTTTAATAGTTTGCTATTTTTTTAAATAGCGTTCTTCCTGTATTTTGGTATGCTCACAACATCCATATTTAACCTTGGAAGACTCTCTGAGGTTCAAGTCTGTCTGGTTTACCCAGGATGATGATGAGGTGCAGATATTTTCTGAAATAGCTTTTACATTTTGTTGTATGATAGTTTTTCTTTGTAGTTTACCCAGGAAAGAAAAATGACTTTCTAGAAGCCAAATAGAACTGCTGCTTTGGGGTTTTAATCTTAGTTGCTCCTTTTCCTCTCTAAAGCTATGTCTGGACAGCTGGTCTCTGCCACACAGAATCCAGTTAGCAGCCCTTGGTTTCCATAGCAGAAGCTCCTCCTGGAGATGCTGTTTTTACTAACCAAGCTAGCTGGTATCTGTGAGTCTACCCCTGTAGCACAGGGGTATTTCACACCCTTTGCCACAGTCAGCCTGGCTGTAAATCCAACTAGACATCAGGGCATCCTGCAAATCACAGACTACCGCTGTTCCATGCTTTCCAGTGTAAACAAATAACAAATTAGACCAACTCAGCACCTTAATCGGCATATTAGGTCTTGAAAATCCTCTGATTATCTGGCCTCTCCAGTGACTCTGCAAGAACATTGCCCTTTTTGCCTCTTAGGAGGAAAAGAAATCTTTTTTTCTTTTGGGCTTTACAAATTATTTCCCTGATCAATATTTGAGCAATTAAAGTGTTGCACAGAGGAAAAAATACCCTGCTCATCTTACAGACTCCTCTGCAGGTGCTGGTTTCATCTATTTTTCTTTTGCTGTCCTGAAGGCTGAGAAAAACACAATGACATCATCCACTTTGCAAAAAGCTTCTCTGCATATCTGCATGTCAAGTAGGATATTCACTTTCTCCCTGCTTGCAGAGGGCTGCTCCTCTTCAATCTCTCCACTTCTCTCTGGTCCCAGTCCTGTTGGGAGCTCAGCTGCAGCAGTCTCTCAGTTCTGGCAGGCTATTTCTCATTCTTTCCCTGGTTCCTACTGTGTCTTTGCCAGTGCAATAATATCACATTTATCCTTGAAAACATGCAACTCCACTTCAGTAATCTTATTAGGCATGCCTCTACATTTGTTGAACAGCTTTTCTCGAGCTGCCCACTGCTCTCTGCTGCTAATCTCTGGGTACATTGCTTAGGGATTGGAGAGGTTGCTCTGTAAGCTCTTTCCTTATTATTGTTGATAGTAGTGACAAAAAAAGAATGATAAAACCTCCTGGAGATGCATTTGCTACATCTAGAGCGTTCTTCCCCCACATGGGTTTTCTATTCCTGGCCCTTCCTTATGGCATGCAGTTTTCATTCATCTCTAAGAACCTGTCTGAATTTAGCATTCAGCAGAGGAAAACCCTCTCCCGAATTGTAGGGGTCAGTCTTAGCCATGTCTTCTGTCTCTGAGACTCACACTGCAGGGCAGATGTTGGCTTGGCTGTTAAAGCAAGCTTGCCCATATTTTGTTTGCAGCTGTGCCTTTCAT